GAAAGAAATTATTATTTTTAAATTTTGTATTTTAAACCAAAACATCTTACGGATAGATAGGGAGGGAGAGGGTATTAAATTTCCAAATTGGACAAATATATCTAGTAATGGTTGTGAAAAAMAAAAAAAAAAATTTCTAGTGAATTAGTGATGGTTAAAAATTGCGGTCAGATACATTCGTGGACTGTAAATTAGGGGATTTGCTTATAAACCCTAATTTCTTCTTTCTTCCTTCCCTAAATTCTGATTTTTGCCATTTTGGGTTTGGCGACTGAAGAAATTGGCACGAGTCACTGATCGATGAGTAAGTATTTTCTTCTTCTCTCGACCATTTGTGTAACTTTGGAGAAATTTTGTGTCGTTTTCTTGAATTCAATCACATTCAAATAGCAGTCGAATCGTTTCAAGCATTTGGTAATCTCATGTATGCTCAGTGATCGATGAGTAATTCTTTTCTTCTTCTCTTGGAAATTTGGAGCTTTATCTCGAATTTAGTCAAATAGGCTCAGTCGAATCCCTTCAAGCATTTGTTTAATCTCATTTCGGTCTCATGTATACACTGATTCTCCATGGCAGAAGGTTGGTCCAGTTGGAGAAATGTCGTAGTTTGAGAGTTTCAGTGAACTTTTTTGCTTTGTCCAATTCGTTTTTCTCTACCAGTAGTGTTGCTGCAGATGTGAGCTCTAAAGATGTACGAAAAGGGAAGACTTTTACTGTCTCTTGCCTCGTTGAATCAATCTCAAGAAAAGTCGGTTTTGAAAAGAAGGGAAATCCGGATTCTGTGTTGAATCTTCTTAGAAGCTATGGGTTCACTGACTCTCAGATCTCCACCATCATTACGGTTTATCCACGACTGCTTATCGCAGATGCTGAGAAATCCATTGGTCCCAAGCTTCAGTTTTTACAGTCCAGAGAAGGTGCTTCAAGCTCTGAGTTCACTGAGATTGTCTCAAAAGTTCCAGAATTATTGGGAAAGAACAGATACATTAGCGTATACTATGATTTCGTCAAAGAGATTCTAAAAGCGGATAAGAGTTCCAAGTTCCAAAATTTATGTCATTCTTTGCCACATGGTAGTATGCAGGAGAATAAAATGCGAAATATATTGGTTTTGAGAGAATTAGGTATGCCTCAGAAGCTGATATTCTCCTTGCTCATTTCAAATAACCGTGTCTGCTGTGGAAAAGAAAAGTTCGAAGAATCCCTCAAGAAGGTCGTCAAGATGGGTTTTGATCCGAAAACCTTAAAGTTTGTTGAAGCTCTGCAGGTTGTTCAAAGATTGAGTGAGAAAACAATTGAAGAAAAGGTCAATGCCTGGAAAAAGTTAGGCTTTGTTACCGGCGATGTATGGAAAATTTTCAAGATGCGTCCAACCATTTTGGCACGTTCGGAGAAGAAGATATTGAACAATGTTGAAACATTTATAGGTCTAGGATTCAGCAGAGACGATTTTGTGCTGATAGTCAAACGCAGTCCTGCGTGCACTGGATTATCAGCAGAGACAGTGAAAGAGAAGAATGAGTTTCTGGTGAAGGAGATGAATTGGCCACTAACGGCCTTGGTTTCGCACCCRCAGGTATTTAACTACAGCATGGAGAAGAGGATTGTACCAAGGTGTAACGTAATCAAAGCTCTC